GAACTCGATGCAACTCCAGACCCTTTATAAACTGATCCAACTCTGCTTGACAGCATGAAACCGCATAGTGAGGAGCCACATATCTTACCAATTCTTCTTTATCTTCAACATTGACAATTAATTTACAATATCCAGCAGAAAATCTCTTTGGGAAATTGAAAGATGCCTCCTGTACAAATATTTCAGGGTTGGTGATTGCCTCAAGTTCTTCTAACTTCTTTCTTACTTCATAATCAGGAACTTCACCTCCTGATGGGTGTACCTGGTTCAAATCTCTGAACAAAATGTATTCTGTTACAGCCCTGGAAAAAACTTGAGGACCTGGTGAACCTTATAGCAATGGCATTGCTACACACTGTCTATACAGATGGTACTCATTTTTCTGAAGAAGAACCATGTTATGAAGGAAAGTTTTTTGGCCATCTTCTCCTTGCATCAACTCATTTGATACCATACGATCCACAAGGCAGAAGAGCTCACACCTTGGTCCACCTTTATTAATTGCAGATTCTCCAACAAACTGGACCTTCATATGTACCTTTAATTCTTTGGCTCTTTGCAAGCTTAATTTGAAGTCCTTCCATGCCCATTTTCTCCTAACCTTCACTCTGAGATACTCCTCCTTGTGAAAGCCACTTGCTATCTTTAAAAGTACCTGTGTAAGATAAATCAAATCCATCAACTTATTAAAACCCGGAAATCATTGATTATACCTTGATGTGATTAAGGCTTGAAGGACTTTTCACAAACAGGGTATTTTCTCATCTTATCAAACAAACAAATGGGGAACAAAAAACTACATGTGCTGAAAAACAACTAAGAACTACATGTACATTTTATGTTTAAGTACCTCTTTTAGGATCCCTGCATCTATGAGGGTATTTATTTTGGTATTAACATTGGAATACTTTTTGTCCTCATCAACATCATCACCACCATCATCATCACCATCATGGATATCAGATTCCAGGCAAGATGCATACTGATCTTGCAGTTGTTGGACATCAGATGTTGACTTCATTTTGTTCAAGAGAATGTTAGCACATTCATTTATTGATTCCTTTCCTTCTATCCATGCATCAACAATGTCTGAGAGAGGCAAATGTTGGAAAAGATCCCTTAGGGTCTTGAATCTTGGGTTGGAATCATAGGGATGGTTCTGAGGGAGCAAATAAGTATATCAAGAAATTAAAATTCTGCAAGTTTTTGGGTTTAGCTATCTTCTCTAGGATGACAATAAGTATTGTGCACTCACTGAGAAGTAGATCTTAACGCTAACTAGTCCAGTAACTGAGCTTATCATGCAAAATATAGGAAATCTATAATTACAAGACATTGCATTACTAACTGTTGATTACCTGACCATCTTCAACACAAATAGTATCACATTCTTGTACGCCTTGTTTATCACTTGTACTTGTGGTTGTACTAGTAATTCTGGTAATTGTACTTGTACTTTCACTGAGATAAGGTAAGTAACTTGGGACATCAACCCTAGGTAACTAGCAACAAATTCATTTGCATTTCACTTCAGTACATGCACTATAAAATTGTAGTGGTATACCAAAAATCACTCAAGCAAACAAACAAAACCAGCTGAGCAAATGATTAACATCAAATGAAAAGAGGTAAGGGCAAGATTCATTCAGAATATCACTGGGAATAAAATAAGCGCATTAGATCATATACCCATGAATTTTGCGCTATATAAATAATAAAGTCAATAAATAAGGCGGGCAGGCAAGCGGGTTAAAAAAAAAAAAAAGAATTAACGATGCATAGCTACTGAACCAAAGCAAGTATTCTTCGATTGCAGCCTACGTCACGCTAATTAAAATTCAGGCTTAAAATAGAAGTCCGCCATGTTGGTGGTGTGACACGCGTGAATTGGCAAGTAAAAACCATTGTTTCTGCTTTGTAATTCGAAAAATTTAACGATAATGCCTTATATGTGTGTCGTCAAAGGGTGCAATCACAATTCTAAATCTCATAAAGGTATTTGTGGATTCTATAGAATACCTCGTGTAAAAGAAAATGAAAACGAGGAAACAAAAAAGTTGCAGGAGGATAGGAGACGGCAATGGATACAAAATATTTATAGACGGGATTTAGAGAAGATAAATCTAAACAATACTGTCTGTGGACATCATTTTGTCTCAGGTAATTTTTGTATTCTGTGACTCGTTCAAATTTCCTTTTGATAGTTAAATCATAAAAACGAGTGTGCTTAGACGAAATAGGGTCGCCATCAGCTCTATACGACTGCACTAATCCAGACTGGGCACCTACTCAGAATATGGGCCATGATAACATAGCTCCTGAGAGTGTGGGTAATGCTATGTCGAAATACAAACGAGCTAAAGAAAGGGAAGCTAACAAGAAACAAGCTGCATCGAAGAAAAGAAAAACGTCATGTTCAGCAACCTCTTCAACTGCAGCTGCTTCTGAGGTTTTTTCTGCAAGTGCCAGCTTTGTGGATGCTGGAGGAAATACTAGCGCTGAAGGTTTGCGCAATAATGTTCATTTGATAAAACTCTTATATTTCAATACATATATATTTGAATGTTTTTCATTTATTTCAGGTGAGGCTATAGAAATTGAGGATGTGGATGTGGATCCCCAGACCAAAGGTTGTCAAACTGATAACTGTCTTGTGGTTGACAGGTCATGTCAAACAGATATGACCTTGGCAGATTTTGATCCTCAACATGGGTACATCCAATCCATTACTACTGAGCTCCACGACTGGAAAAAAACTGCCTTGCAGTTGCAAATTTCTCAGAATGGATTTAAAGATAATGATCAGAAAACAAAATTTTACTCGGGTTTACCCAGTTATTTAATGCTGATTCATGTTTTCAACCTGTTGACTCCTAAGATATCAACAACTCCAATGAATGCACTATGTCAGTTTCAAGAGTTTTTGTTGGTACTGATGAGATTTAGCATATAGTTCTGGAGTTTCGGCATCAACTGCTACAAGAATCTTCTATCGGTGGATACCTATAATGAGTGAGCGGCTTGACTTTCTTATCAAATGGCCTGACAGGGAGAATTTAAGAAAGACAATGCCTTTGGTTTTCAAACAAAACTTTGGCAACAAGGTAGCAGTAATAATTGATTGCTTTGAGGTATTTATAGACCGGCCATCTAGCTTGATTGCTCGAGCAATGACATGGTCCAACTATAAACACTACAGCACAGTTAAATTTCTTATTGGAATCACTCCCCAAGGAGTAATATCATTTATCTCTAAAGCCTGGGGGGGCAGAGTTAGTGATAAATACAGCAAAGCAAGGAGAGCCATTTGCTCCCACAGACCACGTTGCTACCGTCTGCTGTGCCTTAACTAATTTATCAGACTCAATTGTAAGCTGATGATGATTTATACAGTCTATATAAATATATGTATAGATATGACTTTGAATTATATTTTTAAAATATTTTCATATTAATCAATTTTTGATGTTATTTTTATTATACTATTAGTTTGTTTAAATATAATTCAAAGTTATATTGGTCGACCTGAATTAGTATCAAGCACTTTGTATGTATTTTTAATTGTATTATTATATTGTATTTACATGTAGATATTCATCTTTAAAAAGAGAAGACTTTTCTGGATTCTTATATATTTATTTTTTATGATAGATGTAGTAGCATTTTAATTTAGTACAATAAGTTAGAATAATATATAAAAATTAATAATTGCAATAAATATTATTTTTTACGATAGATGTAGTAGGCAAGCACTTTCCAAAAGACCACAAACTTCGAAGAATCTTCAATCATAACACAATCGAAATCAGCTACAGCGGCATAAATACCACTAAACAGGTCATGGACAACCACAACAAACACATTTTAAATTCATCCATACAAATCGACAACACCACAGATAACACCAACGCAAAAGACTCCAAAACTTGGGGCTGCTGACAGAAGAACACATGCCCACTAAACGGAAACTTCCTCCAATCATCACTAATCTACCAAGCCACTGTCACACGTAAGGACAACAGCACCACTGAGACATACATCAGACTTACAGAAAATGACTTCAAGACTAGATACAGAAACCACACCGCGTCATTCCAACATGCAAAACACAGAAACTCTACCGAACTCAGCAAGCATATTTGGACCCTTAAAGAAAATAACATTGACCACTTTATTTCATGACACATCCTTTCATCAAGATCACCCTACGACAGCGCAAGCAAAAGATGTAACCTCTGCCTCAAAGAAAAATTACTTATCATCTGCCAACCTGATTTATCATCCCTCAATAAACGTAATGAACTCGTGTCCTCATGCCGCCACAGAAACAGTGTTGCTGCGCAACAATTGAACTAAGCATTGAAATTTACCGCGATGCCTATTACGCAGATTTGCATAATAGGCGTGGACATGCCTATTATATATTATATATAAATATATATATTCCTTGTGGTTTACTTTTGGATTTATGGGAATAAAAGAAATCTAGGGAATGGAAAGATGGTAAAAAAATGCCCTTTGCATTAAAACAAAGTTGTTTATTTTACTGTGGTTTAAAAAAAGATTATACACTAACAACTGGGCTTTATAACCCATTTGAGAGGTGACCTAAATAGGTAGGGGAAAGTATGCCTCTTTAAAGAAACTGTTTGAATTTGGAAACAAAATGTTTGTTATATAAGGGCTCAAGGCTGTCCATAACATTATACAACTGTGTGGCGTTGCATACTAGCAGAGCTGTTTCTTAAAAGAGGACAAACCTAGTCCCTGCAGGGCTGGGGAGATGTGTTGAACTTCTTCTTAGCAGGCCTTTGTGCCATAGATTCCAAAACTTTAAAGTACTGTGTTGATACACATTATATACTGTTCGAATATCTAGAATGTTGAGCAGATCGAGGGTGCTATCTGTTTCGTTATGCAATGTACCAATAACAGTGGGGCAAAACTTCCTCATGTTTGTTCCAAAGTGATCAATCAATAATTGCTGAAAAAACTCACATGTGAAATGTATCTTCTCCTCCTCTTTGTTAACCAGTGTTTGGTTGGCAGTGTGCCTGTCACTTGGGATTGAGATTGATAGAGTATTCCAAGGTTAATTACAATTATTCTCTCGAAGGAAATAGTAATTGAGTGGGCACAACTCTTGCATCTCCAGCATCTGAATAATTCATGTAAAATGCCATCTTTCTTTTGTTGTAATGTGAACCTCTAAATACCTGTGACGTAACTTAGTTGATAAAGGATTATGTTAGGTGAGAAGACGGTATTGAAAGGAAAGATGGTAATTTTACAAATCCTGAAAGGTTTCCCTCAAAAACTAACGGAACTCCCTATAAAGGTCTTTTATGAGTAAATAGTGATTGAAATAAAATATTCTGATGGATGTGGTTTTTTGGCAGGGTTCAGTGAATTTGTGAGGAAACTGAATCCTTGATTTACCGGATTGGTGTATGTCACTAGCATTCTTATCAACCTTCAATAAAATTTCCCCTACAAGAAGCTTGGAAAATTTTACTTCAGATGATTTGAGGTCATTTAAGTAATGCTTCTATGCGTCATGACTGCCTAACTGCTAGAAAGATTGCCACCTCCCAAGAGGGGTATATTCAGTGCCTTAGAAGCATCCTTTGCTACATATAATTTTATTGAATTTTGGACTAAAAACTGTAATTAAAATTTGAAGTTTTTCTGATATGAGCTGTCAAAGAAGTACACATTTTTGACGCAAGATGCTTTCAATTTGGAATCCACTGTTTTGTACACAATAACAATTGGAAACACGATGATAAAAATGCCTTTGTTCATTCAGCTATCTTCTCTAAGCCTGGACCATAACACTTGATTACAATTCTTTTGTTAAATTTTCTCTACATTGTGATTTTGAAGATATATTTTCCTTGCCCACTTCTTGATGTGTGGAGACTACGGGTATGCATGATTGTATTAGCATATTAAGAGGAATACCCTCATAAACTTGTGAAGATCCTTATCACTATCCATAGCTGATGACAATGCTTGCCAATCAAGCCAAGTATTTTCAACTACAATGGGTTATTTGAAACGTGCAGTAGTACATCATCATAGAATAATATATTTTTGTTCTATGCTGCTGTGCAGTTTTTGTTGGACTGTGGACAGTTTGTTCTGACTGATATCCAAAATTGGACTTTACTTTAGTTTGCTCTCGGCTTTGCAACTGACGGGAATAAAATACATAGGGCATCACAATGCTTGTGTGATCAGACTACTGTTAGGACACTAGCAAAAACAGTAAGAGTGCACAAACTGTACTATCTATCTCAAATGGTCCATGTAGTTCAAATGCTTGAAGTAGGTTAATTGGTTCAACCGGACAAAATGCATAACTAGCTTAATAGCATCAACTGCACCAACTGCACAATCAAGCTTAATTGGAGTAGCTAAAATGGGTCAATTGGTTAAATAGTCAAAGTAAGGAAGACACTTGGATTTCAGTAAATGATAAGTATTATATGAAAAAGCGAGCACAAAACTGCCGTACAATAAAAACACAAAATCACTGATACCTGGTGAAAAGGCCTTATAAGCCCTAAGTACTATGTTACTATGTTAAATAGTTAAACCACTCAAACTAGATTGTGCAGTTTGTGCAATGGAACCGTTTAATCTAGTTATGCATTTTGTGCAGTTAAACTATTTGTGCAGTTGAACCATTTCAACTACCTGAACCAAATACGAAAGATTTTTCAATCTGTGCAGTTCAATTGTCTTACCTGGCTTGACTAGTTTACAAGTCGAATCAATTTAAATAGTATAACTATTTTAAATACTTCAAGAAACTTAACTACATTGTGTAGTTTGTGCCGTTTAGTCAATGAAGTTAATTTGACCATTTAAAGTACTCCAACCAGTTGAGATAGATTGTGCAATTTTTCCCACGTGACCTTTGACTGTTAACCAGTTGAATCATTTCACCTTGATTGTCAAAATTATGCAGTGGAACTGATTAAGCTAGTTATGCATTCTAATCAGTTCAACCATTTAAACTAGTTTGACCATGTGAACTACTTCGACCAATTAAGATAGATTTTGCAATTTGTGCGGTTTTGCTCATATTTAACTAGTTTAACTAGTTGGGATAATCAAACTAGATTAATTGGTTCATATGATTTAGTAGTCAAGCTATTCGAACTTCACTAATAGTGCAATGCATCTTTATGGGTTGAGGTAGTTTAAAATGGTCAAACTACCCTATATAACAAAATGATGCTTGTCATACTTTTGCATTTTGTTTAGTTGAACCATTGAAGGTAGTTTGACTATGTGAACTACTTCCACCAATTAAGATAGACTGTGCAGTTTGTGCACTTTAACTGTTATTGATTGATTGAAATTTAGCCGGTTGAGCCATCTGGGCTACCATTGGTTTTGTTCAGTTTAACCATTTCTGCTAGTTCTAAATTTTGTCTTGTTGACCCATATGAGCTGGATCGACCATCAAACTTTTTTGACGAATAAAGATATATTGGGAAATTTTGCAGTCTTACTGCTTTTGCTAGTTTGCTTATCTAACCACTTGAACCATTTCAGGTTGCTTGTGTAGTTCGTGCAATTACGCCAATTAACCTAGTTATGGATTTTGTCCACTTGAACTATTTAGGCTACTTTGACCACATGATCCACTTCGACCATTTAAAGTCACTTCTGCAATTTGTGCAGTTTATTTGTGTCCGCTTGATTGACTATTTAAGCAGTTGAAGCATTTGAGTCTAATGTGACAACGTGACCTCTCTCATGTCACAAAAATACATTTAAACAATACATAGTAGGTTCTCAAATATCTCA